TTTTTTAAGAATATTACAGTCTTCAAATTAAATAGAATCGTCCAAAACGTATACTTTTTTTTTTGCTGAAGAAAATATTGGGTTTCAGCTGCAGTTAATCAAATTGCCGGCATTCATGGTATAAGATTTCCCATATATCTACATGGTGAGATGAAAAACTGCAACCAATTTCGCGGTGGCCGAAAAATGTCTCGTAAGCTGGACGCACCGCAATATTCGTAGTCCAGCAACATTCGTAGTCCAGCAGTTTGTAAACAAAGAAAACGATCGTGTTTACTTGACAAAGAGGTAAGCTTAAATGTGCCCTTTCGGTTGGCCACCATAACAGCCGATGGTCGCTCTCCGCTCGTATTAATCGACCGTGGCATCAGAAATAATGTTGAATATTATCGCGAAAATATTCTGGAGGCTGGTTACAAATTTATGGATACCAATCCGTAGGACTGGAGTATTTTGTAAAGCAAGGTTGGCACTAAAAACGAAGTGTCGGCAAGCGCTTCGCCTGGAATGGCCCAAAATACCTCAGAGCAACATTCGGGCAGCGTATGACGGTTTCATTGGCCGTTTGAAGGTCATAATTCGTGCCAAAGGTGACCAATTCGAACAAACCTAAACTTATTCTAAAATTTGATACTATTTCCGAAATGTTTGCTTTTATTCAATAATATTTATAAAATTAAAAATTATGGCGTTTGACTTTGTTTCAGTTTTTTGTCACCCTGTATTTTTATACCCACGAACACTTAAAATTATGCAAGTTTCTTCGAACTATACTTCATTATAATCTACAACACTATGCGTTGGTTGTATTATAAGTTTGATTGGGCCAAAAATTATGTAACACCTTGAATTATTGGTTTCCCACATAGGAAAGTATATATGGATCTTCCTATCTCACCGAGCTGAATCGATCTGTGTATGTCCGTCCGTCCGTCCGTCTGTCCATTTTAATTTGTAATCACTCTACAGGTCGCAATTATGGCGCGATCTTCACGAAATTTAGAATGGAGGTGGGGCTAGGGTGAGAATAGAACCATATTTCTTTTGGAGATGATCGCATAATATTTAGGGGTTGAAATTGACCAAAAACTGAAAAATTCCTGATTTGCAGTTGCTCTACTGGTCGCAATAAGCAGGGGGCTAGAGCTTAGGGCTGGGCAGAAGCCCTCCAATTTTGATGGTCATCGGGTAATATTTAGTGGGTGAAATAGGCCACAACATTTGTGTTAAATAAAAGTCAAATTTTCCATTAAACCGCAAATATTTTTTATCCCGGCGAAATCACAAATATACGAACAGGTCAATTCTGACCGTTACGTAGATGCTATATATATATATAGCGAAATATTACAAAGAAGGAGATGTTAGTTAGAATGCTTATATCTCAAGAATAGCTGGACCGATTTTGACAAATTTTGTCAATTCAGAATACCCTCTTGACATAAAGGTATAAAATTTAAAAAAATTACAGAAAAATATATAATTAATATAGATTTTGTAGTATTTTGTGACACATTTTTATTTTTTTATATTTGTTATCGCATGCGATTTTTTAATTTGACTTATAATATTTTATAATATTTTTTCACCTTACAACACAGGTTGGGGTTATTATATAAGAATTGCAAATACCGTCCGATCCTCACTAAAATTTTCACAAGGGTAGGGTTGGGCTCAGAAGGGCTAGGCCCATTGTTTTCAAAGATGTCCGCAATATATTAGGGGTTGAAATGGAAAAACAACTAAAAATTTTCCTGATTTTGCAGCCGTTATAAAGGTCACAAATAGAAACCAAAGGACACGAAATCTCGCATAAAGGTAGAGTTTAGGACAGCGAGTACAATAGACCACTATTTTTGTGTGAAAAAATACCAGAATTACTCACAGGCGATATCCGAAATACACAAAAGGCGAAATTCTGTTGTTTTTATGGTGATTTCGCTGACGAATATAGCCAAACATCGTAGACAAGCAAATCATATAGATGAGTCTAAATTTGGAGATACAGAGGGACCTTTTGATTTCGGAGATGATTGCAAAATATTTAGGGGTTCAAATTAACCAAAAACAGAAATGTTTTTCCGATCACACAATTGAAGCCAGTCGACACGCCTGTGAAGAAAGTTAAGGACACGGTCTCCTAGCATTTTGGATAACCATTGGATTATATTTAGCTGTAAAATGGACTACAATAACTAACAGCACTGCGGAATGCATAAATATTGGACAGATGTCCCTAGTCAAAATCCTATGGATTTGGACGTAAGGGGGCTCCTAACATATTGTATCGTTGTATGGTATAACATATTCGGCCCCGTACGACTATAGCCGTTGCTTACTTATTTTTACTTTAGGGATGAATTTTTAAAAGCAAGTAAACAAGTAAAAAAGGAGTAAATTCGTAAGTTTTCTGTCACACGCTGTAGTACCCGTTACGAATTTAAAGTACGAAATATGAAACAATTCCGATCAATAATGCCGCTGAAATCATCGATATACCGAATATAGGGAGTTGCCGTCATATGGGGTCTATACGAAGACGTTGGCCTCATATTTCTGTCACAGGCTGTAGTATCCATTACCTACTTCAAATATGAAATCTGAAAAAAAACCGATGAATATTACCGATAAAATCATATAAACACCGAATTTAGGAAGGTACGGTTATATGGGGGCTATACGAAGACGTGGACTTGCATAGACAAATTTCTGTTATAGCTTGCAGTACCTATTAGGAACTTCAAATACGAAATTTGAAAGAGTTCTGGTGAATAATGGGGAGGTACCGTTATATGGGGGCTATACCAAAACGTAGACCTATGTAGCCCATTTTCAGTACCAAAAGTCCTGCGGAACAAACACACCTCTGAGTAACATTTTAATAACCTAATTCAATTTGTTCGGAAGCTAGTGTTATTTCCACAGACAGACGGGCGGACATGGTGTTTAAAAGGATCATTTAAATAGCCCGGTATCTAATTTCCACTCCCCCATATCAGTAATGCTTTCGAATGAACTTAATAACAGAATTAATTAACCAAGCCTAAAAAATCGTTATTCACCATTGTTGTCAATTTCAAGAGATCACACCTTTATTCGATTGCAGTTCAGTTATAATACAGTTGTGAAGGGAAGACACATTTTGTTGCTTTACCACCAACCAGAGGAGCCTTTGCCATACGATGAACTGGAGGCATAGTTGCTTGCACCAGATCCAGCCCAAGCGGAACCGCCGCCAAGCGATTTACCACTCCAACCAGCTCCAGAACCGTAACCACCCTTGGCACCACCAAATCCACCGGCAGATTTTCCAGCCCAGCCAGATGCGCCGCCAAAGGCTTCTGCACCAGCACCACCAAATCAACCAACAGATTTACCACCCCAGCCAGCACCAGAGCCATAACCACCAGCACCGGATCCAGCCCAACCGGAACCGCCGCCAAGACCACCGGCACCACCAAATCCACCACCAAGTGATTTTCCAGCCCAGCCAGAGGAGCCACCAAAAGAGCCAGCACCAGCACCACCAAAACCGCCACCAATAGATTTGCCAGCCCAGCCTCCGGAACCACCGCCAAATCCTCCAGAACCGCCAAAGCCGCCGCCAACAGATTTGCCGGCCCAGCCTCCGGAACCACCGAAACCGCCACCAACAGATTTACCGGCCCAGCCAGCTCCACCGCCATAAGAGGCTGCAGGAATAGTGTATGTGGCTACGGGAACTGACACTTTATAAGTGGCAACATGACCACCGCCATAGCCGCCACCATGACCACCGCCGTAGCCGCCACTATGACCACCACCGTAGCCGCCACCATGACCACCACCGAAGCCGCCACCGAATCCTCCTGCTATGGCCCCAGCACTGGCACTAGCACTACTGAATCCTCCTCCAAAGCCACCTTTGCCACCACCGCCGCCGGGTAAGTAGCCACCATGACCTCCTGCACTGACCACGGCCAATGAAGCCAAAATACAAACAAAGACCTTAAAAATAAAAATTTGAAGGAATTGAATATTTGGTTGTTGCAAAAATCGTCAGGCTTAATCCCGTTATTGTTGTTTTTATAAAACAAAACACGATACTGCTGGACAACGAATGTTTTCTCATCGGAGAAAACCAAATTCTGCAGTTCACCACTTTCGGCTAAGCGAAGCAACTCTTTAGCTCTTTTGAGACTATTTTCTTTTTGTTAAGATGTAAGTTCTTGCACTTTTTGGAATTTCAATGGCTTTAAGCTCGGGGTCATTTTTCAATATTTGCCGAATGGAATATTGTTATATGTTCAGCTCACGAGCCATTTTTCGACCACTGCGACGCGGTTTTCGATCAAGTCGCTTCTTTACTTTTTGTATCATTTCTGCTGATGTTGTTGTTTTCTTCCGTCCACTTCCTTGACGTCGGGCTACGCTACCCGTATCACGGTAATTAGCGATGATACGAGACACAAAAGATTTATTCACATTTAAATGCTGGAGTGCTCTAACGATAGCCACTTGTGGTTTTCCAGCCTCAAATCCGATAAATATTGCCGATAAAATTATATAAACACCGAATTCAGGAAGGTAGGGTTATATGGGTGCTATACGAAGATGTGGACTTGCATAGTCAAATTTCTGTTATAGCTTGCAGTACCTATTAGGAACTTCAAATACGAATTTTGAAATAATTCTGGTTAATAATGGGGAAGTACCGTTATATGGAGGCTATACCAAAACAAAGTCTTATATAACTCATTTTCAATACCAAAAGTCCTGCGGAACAAACACACCTCTGAGTAACATTTTAATAACCCAATTCAATTCGTTCGGAAGCTAGTGTGATTTCCTCGGAGAGATGGACGGGCATCATGTTTAAAAGGATCATTTAAGTTAACCGGTATCTAATTTCCACTCTCCCTTTATCAGTAATGCTTTCGAAGGAACTCATTAACAGAATTTATTAACCAAACCTAAATAATCGTTATCCACCATTAATGTCAATTTCAAGAGATCACACCTTTATTCGATAGCAGTTCAGTTAAAATACAGTTGTGAGGGGAAGTACACATTTTGTTGCTTTACCACCAACCGGAGGAGCCTTTGCCATACGATGAACTGGAGGCATAACTGCTTGCACCAGAACCAGCCCAAGCGGAACCGCCGCCAAGACCCCCGGCACCACCAAAACCGCCACCAAGCGATTTACCACCCCAACCAGCTCCAGAACCGTAACCACCCTTGGCACCACCAAATCCACCGGCAGATTTTCCAGCCCAGCCAGATGCGCCGCCAAAGCCTCCTGCACCAGCACCACCAAATCCACCAACAGATTTACCACCCCAGCCAGCACCAGAGCCATAACCACCAGCACCGGATCCAGCCCAACCGGAACCGCCGCCAAGACCACCGGCACCACCAAATCCACCACCAAGTGATTTTCCAGCCCAGCCAGAGGAGCCACCAAAAGCGCCAGCGCTAGCACCAGCACCACCAAAACCGCCACCAATAGATTTGCCAGCCCAGCCTCCGGAACCACCGCCAAATCCTCCAGAACCGCCAAAGCCGCCGCCAACAGATTTGCCGGCCCAGCCTCCGGAACCACCGAAACCGCCACCAACAGATTTACCGGCCCAGCCAGCTCCACCGCCATAAGAGGCTGCAGGAATAGTGTATGTGGCTACGGGAACTGACACTTTATAAGTGGCAACATGACCACCACCATAGCCGCCACCATGACCACCGCCATAGCCGCCACCATGACCACCGCCGTAGCCGCCACTATGACCACCACCGTAGCCGCCACCATGACCACCACCGAAGCCGCCACCGAATCCTCCTGCTATGGCCCCAGCACTGGCACTAGCACTACTGAATCCTCCTCCAAAGCCACCTTTGCCACCACCGCCGCCGGGTAAGTAGCCACCATGACCTCCTGCACTGACCACGGCCAATGAAGCCAAAACACAAACAAAGACCTTAAAAATAAAAATTTGAAGGAATTGAATATTTGGTTGTTGCAAAAATCGTCAGGCTTAATCCCGTTATTGTTGTTTTTATAAAACAACATTTGAATTGAATATTTTTTTCTTATAAAATATCCTTAGTAAAATGGATGCTCACCTTCATGTTTGTAAATATTCTAAAGAGAATCTTATCCAGATGTATTACTCGTAATACTGTAAACTGTTGGAATATATTTAAATTTCAAAAAATCTCCAATTTATAGCAAAAATTTCGATATTCATATTTCAATCCTAAACTCAATGATCATCAGCATCATTATGGCGATCATGAATTAATGACAGTGAGAATATCTTTCAATACACTTTTTTTTCGTTAAACACTTCTGCTATTGCCCCCGTCTTTGGGTTGTTCCCTCTGACTTGGGTTTTTTCTACAATTAGCAAAAAGTTTTTTTTTTTTTCAATATTTTTTTTTTGCATCTCTTCCTGATGTTTAGACACCAGTTAAGTTCTATGTGGCAAAAAGAATCTTACCGTATAATTGATGATCATTCCCATTCGGACATTGTATTAATTAATTTTTGTTCAATCATCGATATATCGATTTTTGTATTTTAAACATGTTTTTTTCTTTTTGCGTTCGCATCTTCTTAAACGATATCCAATACAGCAGCAGGAGGTATTCTTAAACGTGCGATTAGAAATAATTAGATATTATTTTTTTTGTCCATCGTCAATTATGTTATAACTAATTGTCGTCTCTGTTTGACTGATTGATTGAAAAGAACATTTAGAACATTTGAACACTTCAAAGAATTTATCTCAAGGGCAAAGATTAAAAATGTCAGAAGCCGCGGAATTTTTTTAGCCTAATTTATTTTTTACGACTTTGCTAAGCTGGGGTTTGATGTCTTTATAGCTTATAAGACGCAATACTTTCGGACAATCTGTTATTTCACACTTTAATCCCTAAATGATTTTTAAGTATCCCGAAGCAAATGTATTATCATTCTCATTGGGACTTGGTTAGAATTATTGAACTATATTCCATATAATAGGAAAATACTAAAATCGAACATAAACGACTATAAGATATCCTACAAACCCTTAGATATTTAGCAGCAGGTGCTATAAAAATAAGTAACATGTCAATATAATGCATATCCCTATATTTCAAAACAATGAAAATATGGGTTTTTCGAAATTCAAACTATAAAAATGCGAAATGTACTAAAAAGTTCTAAAAATGTAATCCTTTGTAGTTATACCCTACAACACTATGTGTTGGGGGTATTATAAGTTTGATTGGGCCAAAAATTATGTAACACCTCGAAATATTGGCTTCCCACATAGGAAAGTATATATGGATCTTCCTATCTCGCCGAGCTGAGTCGATCTAGCCATGTATGTCCGTCCGTCCGTCTGTCCATGTTAATTTGTAATCACTCTACAGGTCGCAATTATGGCCCGATCTTCACGAAATTTTGAATGGAGGTGGGGTCTGGGCCAGAATAGAACCCTATTGCTTTTGGAGATGATCGCATAATATTTAATTTCCTGATTTTGCAGTTGCTCTACAGGTCGCAGTTATAGACCAATCGACGCGGAAGTTGGCATGGGGCTAAAGCTTAGGGCTGGCCAGAAGTCTTCTAATTTTGATGGTCATTGGGTAATATTTAGTGGGTGAAAAAGACCATAGCATTGGTGCGAAATCACAATAGATGAAGATGTCAATTCTGACCGTTACGTAGATGCCGATAGTAAATATATCTGATATATATCGGGAAATGTATACAATGTGTATATACAAAGGAAGGGGATGTTAGTTAGAATGCTTATATCTCAATAATGGCTGGACCGATTTTGACAAATTTTGTCAATTCAGAATGCCCTCTTAACATAAGAGAATAAAATCTAAAAAAACCGCATAGAAATGTGCCAATAATGGTGTTATTATAGATTTTCTAGTATTTTGTGACATTTTTTTATTTTTTCATATTTTTTATCGCATGCGATTTTTTCAATTTGACTTATAATATTGAAGTATACATTTTGTAATATTTTTTCACTTTACAACACGGGTTGGGGTTATTATATACATATTGCAATTGCAGTCCGATCTTCACGAAAATTTTCACAAAGGTAGGGTTAGGCTCAGAAGAAACATTGTTTTCAAGGGTGACCGCAATATATTTAGGGGTTGAAATGGACCAACCACTAAAAATTTTCCTGATTTTGCAGCCGTTATAAGATCGCAAATAGAAACCAAAGGACTCGAAATCTCGCATGTAGGGTTTAGGACAGCGGTTAGAATGGACCACTACTTTTTTTGCTGTTGTCGTTGATGAATATAGCCAAATATCATAGTCAAGGAAATCATATATATGGGTCTAAATTGGTAGATGCTTAGCGGCTTCTTTGGAGATGATCGCAAAATATTTAGGGGTTCAAATAATGTCTCAAAAATTATCAAAATGCCGAATATCGGGAGGTACTGTTATATGGGGGCTATACGAAGACGTGGACCTGCACAGACAATTTTCAGTCATAGGCTGGAGTATCCATTACGAACTTCAAACACAAAACTTGTAACATTTCCAGTGAATATTGTCGCTTAAATCACCAAAATATCAAAAATAGGGAGATACCAGCATATGGGGGCTATATGAAGACGTGGACCTGCACATAGAATTTTCTGTCATGGGCTGTAGAAACAATTCCTGTGAATAGTGTCACTAAAATCATCAAAATACCGAATATCGGGAGGTACAGTTATATGGGGGCTATACGAAGTAGTGGAACTGCACAGACAATTGTCTGCCATTGGCTGAAGTACCCATTACAAACTTCAAATATCAAATTTGAAACGATTCCTGTGAAAAGTGTAGCTAAAATCATCAAAACACCGAAAAAAGGGAGATACCGTTATTTAGGGGCTATACAAAGACGTGGACCTGCGCAGACAATTTTCTCCCATAGGCTGTGGTATTCATTACGAACTTCAAATACCAAATTTTAAACAATTCCGGTAAATAGTGTCGCTAAAATCATCAAAAATACCGAATATCGGAAGGTACCATTATGTGGGGGCTATACAAAAACCCATGACCAATTTTCAATACCAAAAGTAAAAAAAGTGGGGTGTATTGGAAATGTGTAATATGTTCTTTTCAAAAGGTGCTAATGAATTTTGGGTCAAGAATTTTGACAATGATTTGTATTTTATAGTAAAGCAAATGTGCGAAATGGTACGAAATCTGATTAAAGGACTGAAATAACTCTGTGCAGAAAAAGGAAAACCCTAAAAGTTGCTTAAAAATATATCAATAACAAGTAAGCAAAGATCGTGCGGGGCCGATCATGTGATACCCTACAACACTACAACATATCAAAATCCATTTTGGAAGATCAGATATTACCCTTTGCATTTTGACCAGGGACATTTGCCCAATATTTACGCACTCTGTCGTGCTGATAGTTGTTGTGGTCCATTTTACAGCGAAATATAATCCAATGGTCATCCAAAATACTAGAATTCTACCCTGTCCTTAACTGTCTTCTCAGGCGTGCCTATTGGCTTCAATTGTGTGATCATGAAATTTTTCTGTTTTTGGTTCATTTGAACCCCTAAATATTTTGCGATCATCTCCAAAAGCAAGAGGCCCCTCTGTATCTCCAAATTTAGACTTATCTATATAATTTTTTCGTCTACGATATTTGGCTATATTCGTCAACAAAATCGGCATAAAAAAGCCAGAAGTTCGCCTTTTGAGTATTTCGGATATCGCCGGATATAAGTAATGTTGGTATTTTTTCACACAAAAGTAGTGGTCCATTCTACCCGCTGTACTAAACTCTAACTTCATGCGAGATTTCGTGTCCCCTGGTTTCTATTTGTGACCTTTATAACGGCTGCAAAATCAGGAAAATTTATAGTTGATCCATTTTAACACCTAAATATATTGCGGACATCTTAGAAAACAATAGGCCTAGCCCTTCTGAGCCCAACCCTCCCCTTGTGAAAATTTTCGTGAGGATCGGACGATATTTGCAATCCTTATATAATAACCCCAACCTGCGTTTTGAAAAAATATTACAAAATGTATACTTTAATATTATAAACCAAATTAAAATAAATAGCATGCAAAAAAAATATGAAAAAAACAATTCTCAAAATACTGCAAAATTATTGGCATCTTTTTATGCGATTTTTTAGATTTTATACTTTTATGTCAAGAAGGCATTCTGAATTGACAAAATTTGCCAAAACCGGTCCAGCCATTCTTGAGATGTATACATTCTTGCTAACATCCCCTTCCTTTGTATATACACATTGTATATCTATATCCGATATATTTACTATTGGCATTTAATATATATTAACGTAACGGTCAGAATTTACTCTTTTGTCTATTTGTGATTTCGCAGGGATTAAAAATATTCGAGGTTTAATGGAGAATTTGACTTTTCTTATGTTATGTTGTTATGATCTATTTCACCCACTAAATATTTCCCGATGGCCATCAAAATTGTATGGCTTCTGCCCAGCCTTAAGCTCTAGCCCCATGCTAACTTCCGCTTCGATTGGTCTATAATTGCGACCTATGGAGCAGCTGCAAAGTATTATGCGATCATCTTCAAAAGAAATAGGCTTCTATTTTGGCCCTAGACCCACCTCCATTCTAAATTTTGTGAAGATCGGGCCTCAATTGCGACCTGTAGCGTGATTACAAATGAACATGGACAGACGGACGGGCATACATAGCCCCAACACATAGTGTTGTAGGATATAAAAACATAGTCAGGCAGCCGCGGGATAAGAAAAAATCGACTTAAAGACTTTTTTCGTTTCCTTTTACAGTTTACAAACAAAGGCATAACACACTGCACTACACGGAATTCAAGAGTATAAAAACTACGGAGACTCATATTAGTTACTAACTCATTTCGAAACCAAAATCATCCCTTTCTTACATTTTGTTAAAAATAATTCGGATATTTTACTAGCTTTTAAGTTCTGTCTTTATTATTTTTGTTATATATTTCTCAATATTTCGAAATATTTATATTTATTTTGAGATCATATTTTATAAAATTTAAAATTTCCGTCAGTGTAAATAATCCCTCCAAGCTTTACCACCATCCAGCTGAAGCTTTGCCGTTGTTGCTACTAGATCCAGCCCATCCACGTTTTGCACCAAATCCTCCTGTCGATTGTCCAGCCCAACGTGCGCCAACTCCGTTAAATACTCCTGCTGATTTTCCTGCCCAGCCAGAACTACCAAAGCCTCTACCAGAGTTTCTATTCCAGCCTAAAGCACTACCAGTCCAGCTCGATCCAACACCACCAAATCCTGCTGAAGATTTGCCAGTCCAGCCAGAATTCACAGATCCAGCGAGATTTCCTGAAGATGTACCAACCCAAGCAGATCCGCTAAATCCTCCTGCAGATTTGCCAGCCCAACCAGATGCGCCAAAGCCTGTGCTAGATTTTCCAGCCCAACCGGAACTACTGCCATAGCCACCAGAACCAGCATAACCACCTGAAGATTTACCATCCCAACCAGATCCAGCTCCACCAAAACCTCCTACAGATTTACCAGCCCAGCCAGCTCCAGCGCTACTCAAACTGCCAGACCAAGCAGATCCACCAAAACCACCAGCTGATTTTCCAGCCCATCCTGTTGCAGCACCACCATAGGATGCAACACCTGAGCCAGCGCCACCGTTACTTCTTCCATAGCCGCCAGCACTGACCACAGTCAAGTAAGTCAAAAGACACACAAATGCCTGTAGACAAGGAATAGTGTTAGAAAGGAAATTTGGTGGAGAATTTCTTGAATGCCATTACCTTCATGGTTTTCAAATAAAGAATATGTGCAATTCCTAGTCCACAAGTTGTTGGAATAATTCTTGAAGTGAAAATATCTCCCATTTATAGTAAAAATAGCAAAAGTCGCAAAGGCGTAAATTTTCTTTCAGCTGCATTGTTCTCTTTGTTCAACTTCAGGTGCACTGAAATTAGCACATATTTTAAATGGGTAGTAATTATAATTATTATAGTTTAGTTTTTTTTTTTTTTTTTTTTTGTGGAAGTATGTTTGCAGAGCAAAACAAAAAATGCTCATCACACAGAACAACAGCTAACTTGGGGTGGGATGTTTATAGTAAACTGTTGTCCCTACCTGCACCAAGAGGATGTGGGAGTAAAAGCGAAACGAAAATGAATCATGATGAGATTTTGCATCAAATAAAAAGTCAAAATGTCGAACTTCGACAATATTTATGGCATCGGGCTGTGCTGATATGTGGGGTCCATGGGCAATTTTGGACCCATGGTATTTAATTTTAGTAAGATGAGTTTCTATTCTCTGAAAACTTAAATAAATAAATTGAATAATAGCAAAATCTATTGAAAAATATAATCAAATATCATAAAAAAACTTTAAATCGGATATTAATCAATCGAACTCAAAATACAGAATTCAATGAAGAATGTAGGCAGTGATAAAACAACAAACCAAAACCCATGCTGAGATTAATATTGGCTACGTTGTATTTACCCATTATGCCTATGTTTAAAAATTCAAATCAATCCGCTGTGTAGATTCATAGCCTTAGTTTCTACATGGCTTTCTAAATTAACATATATACTTAACCAAACACAAAATTTTTCTAAGATTTTGAGCTATTATTTTGGGGATGAAAGCCTTTGGTGAATATATACAGGTTGAGATAAAAAACTGCAACAAAGTCAAACGCAAAATGTTTTACATTTTTATACCCTCAGCCATATGGCTACAGAGGGTATATATCATTTAATACATATATATCATTTGGTCAAAACGTGCCTAGTCGAAATAACGGTTTTAGACCCTATGTCTCTTTAGACCAAATCCGTTTTAGAACATTTTGAGTCGATCTAGTGTCCGTCCGTCCGTCCGTCTGTCTGTCTGGCTGGTGCGCACGATAACTCTCGAAGTGAGTATCCGATTTGGTCCAAACTTGGTACATCGTAATATTTTTGTCAAACTTAGATCGAGTTCGGAGATGGGCAATATCGGTCCACTCCTTCTGGTACCTCCCCCACAAAAGGTCGAAATTTTCAAAAAAAAATTTTTTTTGCACCGAAAGAGAAACGATAATCCGATTTTACTTTGCTAATCTTAATATTTGCGTCATTTCTAGGTGAAGTGTGAAAATCAAATCACAAAGGGTCAAAATGTTAAATAATTACAACTCTTATAAAATGTAATATAACAGTCCGATTGTATTCAAACTTCACAGATCCCAATATTTATATTAACCCAAGGTCTGGTATTAAGATGGAATATATCGGGCCACTCCTTCTGGTACCTCCCACACAAATGATTGAGATTTTCAAAAAAAAAATATTTTTTCTGCACAAAAAGAGAATCGATAATCCTGATATTTACGTCAGTTCAAGGTCAGGTGCAAAAATGGATAATATCGGTCCACTCCATCAAGTACCTCCCCCACAAAAGGTCGAAATTTTGAATATCCATCAATCTCTTAAAACACTAAATTAACATCCGATTCCATTCAGACTTGGCATTCTCAATATTTGCATGAACGCAAGATCTTTTATAAAGATGGTAGAGATCGGACCATTCGTTCTGGTACCTCCTATACAAAGGACCTAAGTTTTGAATAATCAAAACGAGCAAAGAATCCGAAATAAATACCCGGTTCTCTTCATATTACACACATCTCATTATTTCTACTAACTCAAGATCTGGTGTGAAGATATATCCCGATATATCCCGGTCCACTCCTTCTGGTACCTCCCCCACAAAGGGTCAAAATCTTGAGTTTCCTGAAGCTCGTGAAACGCAAAATTAACATCCGATTCTATTCACTTGGAGCTTCTCAATATTTTCATCAGCACAAGATCTGTTATAAAGATGGTAGAGATCGCACCATTTTTTCTAGTACCTCCCTACATAGGGAAAAAAAGCATTCAAATGCATCGATCCATCTCCTCAAAGCATTCAAATGCACCCGTCCATCTTCCCACATACAGACATTATTTCTAAACAAGATCTGTTGTGAAGATGATATACATCAGCCAACTTATAACTGTCATAACTTGTCGGCGATTCGTTGCTATATCTAAATATTTCTCTTAACCAGTGTTCTGATATGAATATGTAATTTGTCGGAATTTATGATTTCGCATAAAGTTCAAAATTTTTATCTGTATTAGATGAAGTATGAAAATGGAATACTTTGGTCCTCTATATTTGTTACCTGATGCATATTTCCATTTTCCGAAAATGTGCACATATCTCATATAAAGTACAAGAAGTAGTCGATATAGTCCAAATGTGTCACGTTCATAACTCAAGGCTGGGGTTATATATCTGTCGGCAAAACCGACTGAAACTATTTTACTTGTTTTTTTTTTAATGATAGAGTAAGTTTAGATTTGTTTGAATTGGTCACCTTTGGCACGAATTATGGTCTTCAAACGGCCAATGAAACCGTCACACGCGGTATTTGGCCCGTTCCCGGCGAAGCGCTTGCTTGACGTATTCGATACTTTGGTATTTTTTAGTGCCAACCTTTCTTTCCAAATAACTCCAGACACATGGTGCGATGGTGCTGAGTCCCGTTGGAATGTCCAAGGTCTGCGGCCAAAATGTTAGCGTGCCAATGCTTTAATACACCCTCCAGAATATTTTCGCGGTAATATTCGGTTTTTTTTTCTGCGGAGAGTGACCATCGGCTGTTATGGCAGCCCACACCATTATCATGGCCGGCGCTTGAGTTCTAGTGGCAAACCGAAGGTGCACATTTTCAGCTGACCTCTTTGGCAAGTAAACACGATAATTTTGTTTGTTTACAAACTGCTGGACAACGAATGTTTTTTCATCGGAGCGAAGAAAACCAAATTCGGCAGTTCACCACTTCCTGTTAAGCGAAGCAACTCTTTAGCTCTTTTGAGTCAATTTTCTTTAGTACTCTACACCTCTATATGTCCAGGATACACATGAAAAGCGATCCTAATAAAAAATTCAAATTTCATGCACTCTCTGTTCACCAATACTAAATTGTATCGAATATAGTACTAATCAGAACTTGTAGTAGACATTTGCAAAACCACCTCCATATCTCAATTCTAGATACAAACAGATGCCTCAGTATCACATTTGAGGATTTCAGCTTTATTCCGTCACCCAATGCCAAATTTAGTACTTTTCGTAAAAATATAGGACGCATTTCCAAACCCATTAACATTTAATATCCATCCTTTAACCAACACCAAAAACATAAGATTTCAAACACTATCTGTTCAACCAATACTAAATTCTACCGAATATAACACTTTTTATTACTTGTTGTGTACATTTCCAAAACCACCTCCATATCTGAATTCAAACAGAGACCTTATTATCAAATGTGAGGTTTTCAGCTCTATTGCTTCGCCCAATACTAATTTTAGTACCATTACAACCACCTAATCTCAAACACCGATACCATCAGTAATCAAATTTCCGAATTTTACCTCCAGCCCTTCAACCAAGTCCAAATTTAGTACCAATGATACAACCATTTGAAACCCTGTTGAAAAATATATCTAAAATCCTTAAAAATACCGAATATTGGGAGGTACCGTTATATGGGGGCAATACAAAGGCGTGGATCAGTATAAAAAAATTGTCTGTCATAGGAGGTAGTAGAAGCTAGAATGATTTCCACAGACGGTCGGACATCGTTCAATCGATATGCAGATCATGAATATAAAAGCTTTGTAGGGTCTAAAATGTACATTTCGAGGTGTAACAAAAGGAATGACAAATTGAATAAAATTAAATTCTCCATGTAGAATGTACAAAATATTTCAAAAAAATTATTTTCGAAGTTATATCATCATATCGGTTACCGTACGATTCCATAATAATCTCGGGCGCCATTTATGGTTAATATTTACAAATTCATTGGATCTGTATAAGAAATGCAATTGCGTTGAAATTTTCAAACAACGATCAATTAACAAAGTGTACTTGAAATAACTGTAATGGTTTAGTTTCAATATTTGACCATTGTCAAATACAATGTATCATTCTTCATGACAAAAATCCAACCATACCCATATCCATCAGAGGTAATATGTTATTTTTCAAATTTTGTGGGTTAAAAAAAAGTTTGGCTTAAGTGGCGCTGGGGGACTAGGTGTGGAGAGTACATCATTTAAATTTTGGAATACAGTAATGATCGCAAGGAAAAAAAAACACAAAAACAAATTATGTTGAGGTAACAAAAACGACAAAAGAGATGAACTAAAAAACAAAATTAATTTTCGAAAAATTTTACGAAAGAACATTTTTGACAGCATTTAATCATTTAAGCCAAATTCTACAATGAACAACAATTTTTCTATATATTCATACATTTTGGCAGGCATAAAGTATTCCAACGCGTTAGGTCATATCGTATAGTACAAATTACTAGTGCTGCTTTGATATATTTTTAATTTTCAAAAATGAAGGTAAAATTAATAAAAGCAGACAAAATATTCTTAAAATATCCGAAATAACAAAAGTTTTCATTTCAAAGGTTTTCATTTGCATATTGGCATCCTTGGCCGTGGCCAATGCTGGCGGCTATGGCGGAGGATCTACTAGCGTAAACTATGGTGCTGGCCGTGGTGGAGTTTCTCATGTCTCGAGGAAATTTGGTAATCCTGGCGGCAGCGGTGGCTATGGTGCTTGGGCCGGCAGTCCTATTCCAGCAGATTATGAATATACCGTACATCATGGTGTTAGTAGACAATCATATGGTGGTTATGGAGCCGGTGCTGGTGGCTGGGCTGGCAACTCTGCGGGTGGTGCTGGTTATGGAGCCGGTGCTGGTGGTTGGGCTGGCAACTCTGCCGGCGGTGCTGGTTATGGTGCCAGCTCTGGTGGTTGGGCTGGCAACTCTGCAGGTGGTGCTGGTTATGGAGCCAGCTCTAGTGGTTGGACTGGAAACTCTGCAGTTGGAGCTGGATTTGGTGGTAGTTATGGCGGTAGCGCCGGCGGTGCTTGGGCTGGCAATGGTGGTTCTTCTGGGTGGTATTAGGAAAATTGATCGTTAGACTGTGATTTTGTGAAATAAAACATATTGTTAATTTAATTGATGAGAATATTAATAATTAAAAAGGTCTGCAAATGGGTATATAGAATTTACTATTGGTTGAACAGATAGTGTTTGAAATCTTATGTTTTGGTGTTGGTTAAAGGATGGATATAAAATGTTAAAATTAAATATTTAGATAACTGTTGGTATATTAGGTTGAGATTTAGAGGTGGGTTTGGAAATGCGTCGTATATTTTTACGAAAACTACTAAATTTGGTATTGGATGACGGAATAAAGCTGAAATCCTCAAATGTGATACTGAGATATTACAATTTGGTATTGGGTGAACAGAGAGTGCATGAAATTTGATTTTTTTGTAGGGTCTGTTTTCGTGTGTATCCTGGACATATAGAGGTGTTTTATGAGCGCCAAAAGCATTTCGGTGAGAATTTTCCAAAAAAAAACTTATTCGTGATGGAATTCGAGCGTAATTGTGTGATTTCTTTATATTTGGCTGGAAAACCACAAGTGGCTATCGTTAGAGCACTCCAGAATTTAAATGTGAATAAATCTTTTGTGTCTCGTACCATCGCTCGTTGCTGTGATACTGGTAGCGTAGCCCGAAATCAAGAAAGTGGACGGAAGAAAACAGCAATCTCATCGGAAATGGTTCGAAATGTAGAGAAGCGACTTGATCGAAACCCTTGCCGCAGTGGCCGAAAAATGGCTCGTGAGCTGAACATATCGCAATATTCGATTCAACAAATATTGAAAAAAGAGCTCGGGTAAGCATTTGAAATTCCAAAAAGTGCAGAAAAAAGAGTTGCTTCGTTTGGCCGAATGTGGTGAACTGCCGCATTTGTTTTTCTCCGATGAGAAAACATTCGTTGTCCAGCAGTTTGTCAACAATCGAAATGATCGTGTCAGCTGAAAATGTTCACCTTCGGTTGGCCACCACAACTCAAGCGCCTGCCATGGTGATGGTGTGGGCCGCCATAACAGCTGATGGTCGATCTCCGCTTATATTAATCGATCTCCGCTTATATTAATCGATCTCCGCTTATATTATATTAACCATCAGAATAAATGCCGAATATTATCGCGAAAATATTCTGGAGGGTGTATTAAAGCCTTGGGCACACAAACATTTTGGCCGCAGACCTTGGACATTCCAACAGGACTCAATAATATCGCACTCAGCACGCTTCAGCCAAGAATTGCACAAAGGCCACCAAAATCTCATGATACCAATCGGTTGGACTATTGTGTCTGGAGTATTTTGGAAAGCTAGGTTGGAACTAAAAAATACCGAAGTACCGATCACCACAAGCAAGCGCTTCGTCGAGAATGGGCCAAAATACCGCAGAGCAACATTCGGAGGCGTGTGACGGTTTCATTGGCCATTTGCAGGCCATAATTCCTGCTAAAGGTGGCCAATTTGAACAAATCTAAACTTATTCTAAAATTTGATGCTATTTCCGACATTTTTTGCTTTTATTCAATAAAATTAAAAAAGGAAATATTATGTCGTTTGACTTTGTTGCAGTTATTTTTATCTCACCCTGTATATTCTTTATCAGACTAAAGTTCTAGGACAGTCAAAACGAATGAAAATAGGAAGCTAAAATTTTGCACATATCAGCCTTTCATCTGCAGGCATATAATTCGTGAAGGCCATAATTCGTGCCAAAGGTGACCAATTTGAACAAATCTAAACTTATTCTATAATTTGAAGCTATTTCCGAAATTTTTTGCTTTCATTGAATTAAATTTTAAAAAAATAAAACAAGTAAAAAAGCGGTAAGTTCGGCCGGGCCGAACTTTGAATACACTCCACCATTTGGAATGAATTTGGTAATTCTCAAAAACAATAAAATCCGTTAAAAAATCTGTTAAAATCTATACATTCGGTATAGCTGTTACATTGGGGTCTATACGACATGGACCTGCATTGGTAACTTTTGTCAATATTCAAATGCGAAACATAAAAAAATCGGTAAATAATGTAGCTAAAATCATCAAAATACCGAATATCGAGAGGTGCCGTTATATGGAGGCTAACATTGGTAACTTTTGTCATAACCCATTGCAATATTCAAATGCGAAACTTAAAAAAATCGGTGAATAATGTAGCTAAAATCATCAAAATACCGAATATCGGGAGGTACCGTTATATGAGTGCTATACGAAGATGTCGATCTGCACACACAATTTTCTGTCATAGGCTGTAGTATCCATTATGAACTTCAAATACAAATTTTGAAGAATTGAGATTAATAATGCCGTTAAAATCAACAAAGAACCGAATATCCGGAGGAACCGTTATATGAGGGCTTTACCAAAACGTGGACCTACATCGCCCATTTTCAATACAAAAAGTCCTGCAGATATAATATACATTTGAGTAAAATTTTATCAATCTTCTTCAATTCGTTCGGGAGCTAGAGTGATTTCCACAGACGGATTTACGGATGAGACGGACGGACATCGCTAAATCGACATCGAAATTTATGCTGATCAAGAATATTTATACCTTGTGGGGTCTAAAATGTATATTTCGAGGTGTTACAAACGGAATGACAAACTTAAAAACCCTCCATACTATGGTGGAGGGTATAAATAAACATTATGACGTTTGACTTTGTTGCAGTTTTTTATCTCACCCTGTATGTGTCATACAATCTATATCTTCATAGTTGTAGCATTTTTTCTGCAGAAGTCATGATCGTTTTTCCAAACTCATACGCTTCTTCCGTATCTGCCTATCGGACCGGACTTTAATTGGTCCACAAAATCGAACTGAAACGGTTACGATTGCATTTCATCCTCTTAGTAGGTTGTCATCATCACCATAAAATGTAGCTATTTATTCGTGCCAGAGACCGAGCTCCAGACATAATTTAATAATTGTGGCATGGAATTTGTTTATAATTTATAATTGCCAGACGGATGAAGGGACGAATGCACGCAGCGGAATTGATTTATCTCTTCGATATATGACGATTTGTGTTTCAAACGCTTCAGCCAGATAGCATTGTCTTCACTGTGTGGCCTTTTTCTTTTTTCCTTTTTCCTCCTAAATAATTTGATCTGGAATTTCCAACCTTTTAATTATTCTACTGTGTAATTATGACATAATTACCTAAGGTGTAAAAAATCATTTATACACCAAACGAAATGACAAACCAGACAACTCTAATAATTTATAATAATTTGTCAATTAATATATTTTTTAATAAATGGTATGATTAAATCGATGATATATGTGACAACTCAATTAACAATATTTTTGCATTTAATTAATAATAACACAATAAAAAATTATGACATTTATTATTTAATTGTTACAAAGATGGGCAAGGTGGATGACCACATGCGAATACGAACTTTGTATATGTTTAGCTTCCAACTCAATTTTTGTTTTGCTACATCGAAACCAAATATACAACAATAGTCTGAGTCGACGATATGCGAATTGGTATAAAATGGGGAAATCCCTTCTTTTTAAAAAAGACAACTGTAAACAAGTAAAAACAAAACAGTAAGATCGGTGAGTTGAACTTTAAATACCTCCACCATATGAAACAAATTTGGAAATTTTCATAAAAAAAAAACGTTAAAAATTCTTTTAAAATCTTAAAAACACCGAATGCAGCCGTTATATTGGGGTGTATACGAAGACATGGACCTACATAGGCACCTTTGTCCTAAGCCATTACAATACTTAAATACGAAACTTGAAACAACAATACGGTAAAGAATGAAGGTAAAAACATCAAGATACCGATCATAGGGAGGTACCGTTATATCGGGGTTATAGGAAGACATGAACCTGCAGAGACAATTTTCTGTCACAATATTAGTAACTTCAACTACCAAATTTCAAACAATCTTTGTGACTGTTGTACCTAAAATCGTATAAATACTGAATATAGGGATGTACTGATATATGGGGCTTATACGAATGCCTGGGTCTACATAGACAATTTTCTGTCATAGACTGTAGTTACCATTACGAACTCTAAATACGAAATTTGAAATAACTCTGTTGAATAATGTCGCTAAAATCAACAAAATACCGAATATTGGGAGGTACCGTTATATGAGGCTATACGAAGACCTGGGCGTGCATAGACCTATATAGACATTTCTCTTCCAGGCGGTAAAGTGCTTCTAGTATGTATTCTCAGACAATTCCATTGAAAAATGTACGTAAAATCGTGAAAATACCGAATATAGGGAGGTACCGTTATATAGCGGATATACGATATCGTGGACCTATATAGAAAATACTCTTCCAGGGGTTAAAGCACTTAGAAGGAACTCATTTTGTAGATTTTCAGAAAAATTCATTGAAAATCTTGGCTACAATCATCAAAATACCGAATATGGGGCTATACGATATCGTAGATCGATTTAGGCCATCTTCGAACTTAATATGAATGCAGATGAAAGGCTGATATGTGCAAAATTTTAGCTTCCTATTTTCATTCGTTTTGACTGTCCTAGAACTTTAGTCTGATAAAGAATATACAGGGTGAGATAAAAATAACTGCAACAAAGTCAAACGACATAATATTTCCTTTTTTAATTTTATTGAATAAAAGCAAAAAATGTCGGAAATAGCATCAAATTTTAGAATAAGTTTAGATTTGTTCAAATTGGCCACCTTTGGCAGGAATTATGGCCTGCAAATGGCCAATGAAACCGTCACACGCTGCCGAATGTTGCTCTGCGGTATTTTGGCCCATTCCCGGCGAAGAGCTTGCTTGAGGTGATCGACACTTTTTTAGTGCCAATCTTGCTTTCCCAAATACTCCAGACACAATAGTCCAACGGATTAGTATCCGGAGATTTTGGTGGCCATTGTGCGCTGGAAATAAAGCGATGGTGCTGAGTCCTGTTGGAATATCCAAGGTCTGTTAATACGAGCGACGAGTGACCATCGGCTGTTATGGCGGCCCAAACAATCACCATGGCCGACGCTTGAGTTCTGATGGCC